AATTGGATGAATCAAAGAAAGCCTTGGGTAAATGCATCTTGGCTAAAGGGACCTGGCACTCTCCACCTGAGTTTGAGGTACTTGGTGGGAGGAAAAGTAAAAAATGGAGACATTCTTTAATGCACCAAGGCAGGCCACTCTGTGAATATGACTTGACTTGCCCTAAAACCCCTACTCTTCCTCAGCCTCAGTTTCAACCTAGACCTTGTAGCCACGTACCAGCAGGGGTGTCTGTACATGATGTTTCGTTGCCACCTTGTTTCCCTGTTGGTTCATTGTCTTCCAACGGTAATGTTTTGACTTCGCCACCTCAGTCGCCTAGGCCACACTTAGTCAACCCCGTTTTGTCTTTTATTAAGGCTTTCCGTCTCAGGAGTGACAAAGATAGCTTAAAAAGAGTAGTTGCAGATTGTTTCAGCTGCGCTGCCATTGATGGTGCCAAGAACTTTGAAGCATCTGTTCTGCTGACAAGCGTAGTCAGCTCACTGCCAACATAGAAGATTTAATTCAGGCTTTCGACACACTTGACTCTTCAGATTCAATTCCCCCCATCTACTGCGAGGCCAATGATCTCCTCCTCATGCCTCCTCTGTCTCTTGATCCAACTGCAGAACAGGTCCAGCAGAACACTAAGGTTTTACAGAATTTGGTATCCAAAGTTGAAAGTCTTGAGAAGATGCTTTCTACTTCGTGTACACCTCCTCAAGAATCAGTTCCCCTTTCGTATGCTAAGGCAGCTTTTGCACAACCATCACATGTTACTCCTCTCCCTCCCCACTAGAGCTCGGCCTGCAAATAACTCTAAACCTTCTGACTCAAGAGCTTGTAATCTTGTTCTTTTTGGGCTTCCTGAAAGTGGTTCGATTTTGGAGCTTAAGTCCGATGTAGATGAGCTTCTTGAGTACCTGACAGGAAAATCCGTGAATATAAATGATGTCTTTCGTCTTGGAAAATACTCTGCTTCTTCTTCCAAACGTCCTCGGCCTATACTGATAAAGCTTGCTACGGCTTGGGATCGCAAGATCATCTTAATCCAAAAGCGTAAACTTAGAGACTACAAAACTCCCCGCCTGTTCTTACGTGAGGATGTTCCACCTGACCATCGATTTCGACAGAAGGCAGAGCACCCTTTCCCCAAGGACAAGGTCTCTGTTTCTGAGAAGCCACCCTCAGTCCCTGCCAGCTCTGGTTCCACTCACTCCGCTGAAACATCAAAGACTGACCATCAGCTCAGAGGTGTCTCTCCTGTAGCCTCTAGTAGCTCTTCGAATCCACCCACTGATCTAACAATAGCACGTTCTGTTTCTCCTGCTCTCTCTCACTCCTCCTCTACCTCTACTGTCCTACAGGGATCTGATCAGCATAATGGCTCCACTTAGATGCTGTAGTTACAACTGTCGTGGTTGGAATAATGGTGTAATTTTCCTAAAAACTATTCTTGATTCCACTGATTTGTGCTTTCTTCAAGAACATTGGCTGATAACAGATCAACTTCATAAAATAAATACTATCAGTGATGATTTTCTCTCAGTTAGTGTAAGTGGTATGGATAGCTTCTCATTGCATGCTGGCCGTCCTTTTGGTGGATGCGCTATTTTATACAGAAAGAGTCTGTCACTGGCAATTTCTCGTCTCCCTACATTCTCAAATCGTTTCTGTGGTATTAGAATTAACACATGTGATGGACAATCTTTTCTCATGTTCAGTGTTTACATGCCTTATGATAATCATCCTTCCTCCTTTACCGATTACCTTAACACGCTTGGTGAGATACATGGGCTCATCGATGCTCACTTCCACACTGGAATCTTTCTAGTTGGCGACTTCAATGTGGACTTTGGTCGCTCCGGTCCACTTGAAAAGTTGTTGTCTGATTTTATGCTGGAACTAGATATGTTGTCTGTTGATGTAGGTCATAGAAGTTCTATCACGTATACTTATGAACGAGATGATGACCTGAGTCGCTCTTGGATTGCTGACGATCTATGTTTTACGGAAGATGACATTATTGGTGCTATTGGTCAGCTAAAGTCGAAAAAGTCTGGTGCTGGCTATGTCATCTCTGAACACCTAAAGCTATCCCGCTCTGTAATTGCCTTACCGCTCTCGCAGCTCTATACCTCAATTGTCCGTCATGGACCACTATTGCGGGATTCGATTCTTGTTCCTGTCCCAAAGAGCAACAAAGATACATCTGTGAGTTCCAACTATCGTCCCATTGCTCTTTCCACCACATTGAGCAAGGTTCTGGAGTGGCTGATTCTCTAAAATTCTGAGTTTTTGTACCAGTAGTCACCTGCAGTTTGGCTTCAAGTCCCACAGCTCTACATCTCTTTGTACGGGCAATGGTTCTTATGTTTATGGTTGTTTTTTAGATGCTTCTAAGTTGTTGATTACAACTTATTTCGTAAACTCCTAGAGCGTGGCCTTCCACTGCTCGTTGTTCGTTTCTTGTTGTCTTGGTATAGCTCTCAAGAATGTCGTGTTCGTTGGGGTTCCTGTCTCTCTGATTCGCTTAGGGTTTCTAATAGTTCGTCAGTGAAGTGTTCTCTCTCCTCTTGTTTTTGCTGTGTATCTGGATGGTTTGTTGTCTGAATTGGTTGAAAGTGGTGTTGGTTGTTATTGGAAAAATTTGTTTGCTGGGTGTTTATGTTACGCTGATGACATTGTTTTACTCGCTCCTTGTCCCTCTGCTCTAAGAATCATGTTGAACATTTGCTGCAACTATGCCTCCTGTCATGGTCTGGAGTTCAACACCACCAAGTCACAATTAATCTGCTTTCGGCATTCTCCGCGACAAGAATACCCTGTATCAATATACATGAATGGTAACCAACTGCAATTCTCTGACAAGGTATCTCATCTCGGCCACATTCTTACCGTCAACCTGCGAGACAAAGACGACATCATAAGAGCCACCAAAGATCGAATCGCAAAGCCAACTACGTTCTCAGTTCCTTTAAATGTGTCAATCAATCTGTCAAAAGTTTTCTTTTAAAATCATTCTGTTTATCCCTGTACGGTTGCGTTCTCTGGTCTCTCTCCACTCCTGATATAAATATAATTCAAGTGGCACTAAACCATCACCTACGGCGGATCTGGAAGTTGCCTCGCAACTCTCACACAGCTGTTTGTCATTGCCTCGGTCAGGTTCCTGCCATCAGAAACATCCTCCTCAAGCGTTTCATGTCATTTCGCACATCTGCTCTCTCCTCATCTTCTCCCCTTGTTGTATCGGCTGTTATCTTTCTTATATCTTCACAGGCTACAACAATATAATTATAATTACATGCAAAATTTTATTCTGATCAAGATGTATTGTCTGCTGTCAGTTTATTCGTCAATATTTTGGTTTTCATTCACCTTTTGAATCCGTTGTTTACGAAATCTCAACCTCATGATTACTCTTTTATTACGTTATCAGAGCAGAGCAGGCCAGTGGTCGGTCCAGGAGCCCGTAAGCCCTCGGTTGGGGAAGGGATAGAGTCCAGAAGGTCACTGGTCTCCCTATCACTCTACTCACATCATCTTCTTTTTCTATGTTGTATGTCTTTGCACCTGTGGTGGTGTGTATATCAATCAATATTATTATTATTAATTATTATTATCATTATTATTATCGCTAGTAATGATGACGGTTGTATATACTTACGCTACAGTATATACACATTGGGCTCGCTCCGCTCGCCCAAAGAATTTCCGCCTAGTAATATTGCGTGAAAACTCGGCGGCGCGCGCTCTAATTTCTGGCCGGCACACGGCCACGGGGCCATTCTGGCACGCTATAGTCTGGTGCCCAGGCCCTTCACAAAATATAAGCGCACGCGCGTAAACGCATGCGCGAGAGTGGGAGAAGGGTCTGGTAAATACTATGCCACTCCACGGGGCAAGGCTGGAATGCTGGAAAAGGTGTTGGTATGTAATTACTAACCGCACAGGTTCCGCGTGTGTCCGTCAAGGTGTGCCTGTAATACAACGTCACGTTTTATGGTAATGGAGCTAGAGCAAGCGATCGACAAGGCTGTTGAAGCAGTTGGTTTGCAGTAACTCAAGCCTCTACAGCGCCATGTAATAAGCTAGTTTGTGTGACCGTAAATGACGTTTTTGCGAGTCTTCCTACGGTTTTGGCAAGTCTTGCAGCCAGGGGTCTACGAGCTTTAGAGTCAAGCAGGCTTGCTCCGCAGGCTCTGCAAGTACTGGTCCATCCGTCAAAAAAGTAGAAAGTCTACTTGTGTGCACGCACGCGCGGTATATAGTATTATAGCGCATAATGATATTCATCACAGTTGGGTGTGACCTCAACCACTCGCGATAAGTGGTTGCTGGCCGGGCCCGTGGGAGAGGCATAGTTATTTACCACCAGACCCTTCTCCCGCTCTCGCACATGCGTTTATGCGCGTGCGCTTATAATTATTTTGTGAAGGGTCTGGGCACCAGACTAGGCACGCTACAGAGGAAGCTTCTACTCTCCGCTGGGTCACGAAAACTGCCAGTCAACATCGTAGCTTATCTTGACCATGTCTGATCAGGTAGGCGGGGGTCATAGTGGAGTCTATGTAGACCTGCATTCTGTTGACCAGTACTATTCGCACCCTACTTTGCTTGCCGCCCCGATTGGTCATGATCGGAGCTAGAATCGTCTAGGATGCTTGCCGCCCGGATGGATCATGATCGGCGTCAGACCTCGTCTAGGGCTAGGACTAGGGCATCGATTAGTTGAGTCTGTCGAACCCCTAGCCCTAGACGAGGTCCGGCTCCGATCATGATCCATCCGGGCGACAAGCATCCTAGACGAGGTCCGGCTCCAATCATGATCCATCCGGGCGGCAAGCATCCTAGAGGTCCGGGCTAGGGCCCTAGGTGCTAACCGAAAAAATTCAGGAATGTCACAAAAGAATGCAGGTATATAGTACACAGTAGTAGTCTGCATCTGGCGTAGCCTGACCCCACCCTCAAGGGGTCAGGTGAACCGCGTATCATAGACTTGTCGCTCAGGAATGCAGGCGCGCGATCCACGGCTTGGATGACAATAGCCTTGTATCCCAACTTTTTCACTGCGCCAGTAGCCGCGGCTGTCACGTCTTTCTCTCCGCCGCCTTCATTGCCGCCGCCTTCATCAAGTCTATGATACTTCCCGAGATTTGAGGGTGGGGTCAGGCTACGCCAGACTAGACTCCACTATGACCGTAGGCGGGTGTAGGTCATCATGGAAACAAGCCTTTTATATATATATGCAAGAGCAACATTTTGGAAGTGGGGCATGTTCCTATTACCATCGAATATTCTTCCAGGTGGGGATTGAAGACTTTGCCGAAGTCCAGGCGGCTCTGTGGGCCGCCAGATCAAAATGGTACAACATCGGCATTCGGCTGAAACTAGATGTTCGTGAGCTGGACAACATTGATGCTGAGACAAGGTTTGGTCTGGATGACAAGTTCAACCTCATGATCAAGACCAGGTTTAACAAGATTGAGCCATGCACCTGGAGAGATCTCTATGATGCATTAAATCACCCTACTGTTGCCATGTCTGATGTGGCAAATAGGCTTTCAGCAAAGCTAACTGGTAGGTTTAGTATGTACCTACAGTCAGTATCCTGATGCAATAATTATTCTACTACGTATCAACAGTTGAAGTACCCAATACAAAGGCTGGAGATGCAGCATTAGGCCACTCCAAGTTGTATACCGGTTTCTGATCCGCCGCCCGCACCCATTTCAAGAGAATGCAGTTTTGAACTGCGCATGCTGTGCTGTGTGTACTGCACTTGTCTCGTTTTGACTGTCTTCCCACTATGATTTTTTGTGGTCATATTATTACTAATGAGTAAACCCACCAGCCCGCATCTTGACTTGAAAATGCCCTTACCAGAAACCGGAATGCAACTTGGAGTGGTATCCATGAGCAGTAATCACTGACTGTGGCCAATACCTCATTTGACAGTGGAAACACCAAAGGTTACACAGGCATAGACAGGGTTGTTTTCATTAAGGCAGTCAGCAATTTTACTATCCATTGTTCTCGCAGTCATGTTTTTTTCCCACTGAGGCAGCCACTAGCCTTGTTCTCTCTCCAAGTGCACATATTTTATGCCACAGAGAGGGATTTATTGTGCGCACAGAGAGGGGGAGTAAAGTTTGTGCACGCGGAGGGGGGGGCAAAGGTCATGCGAATAAACTATGTGCGCAGAGAGGAGGAGAAAAATAAATTGTGTGTACCAGTGTTTCCCGCAGGGTAATATTCAAACAGGGTGGTTATGAATTATTAATTACCTCAGCTTTCACATTACTTGTTACTCAAGTTTCAAAGTATATACTTCCTGTTGGGAAATCCCCTACTGGCCTAAGTGCTACTCTCTAAGCAGCGCATTACCAGGGGGGTATATATATATAGGACAATATCACGACGTGTGAGCAATTTTTGCTGAATCAGCACTCCCGAATGTATGGGCTTTCTCGTTCAACCAGTCTTCAAGGAATTTTCGGCAATCTAGGCCGTGGCTGAAGTTTTTCTCTTGACAGAGTGAAGGAGGCACCTTAGAAGATCAAAAATCTTGGTGGAACCCACGGTGTAGACACAACTCTTTTTTTTGCTAGCAGCATATGAATGGGAGTGCCTAAGCTTGCGACTTTTTCTTCCAGCGAAGCGTTAGCATCTGGCCTTGACTTCCACTCCCGTCTACTACCATTTGACTCAATCCAAGGTACGTCAGGCTATTCAAATGTTCCAATTGTGCTCACAAATATAGCAAGCTATGAGAGTAGACAGTGGATAACCTTAGGCCAAGCCACGCAGCCAAATTGTTGTAGCTAGCTACTCCACAGATACCTTGTAGAATTCCGTGAAGAAAATCCGCTAAGACTTGTGCTTTGTGTCGATCATACCGTTTCTACAACGGTTTCTTGCATGAGGAGCACTTTTCGATAGCCTGTTTGTCTTGAGACTTGGTAACGGTGTTTTGCAAGGACGTGGGCACGAGGGCGAGTACCAGCCCATGTCCTCAGACTTCCTCTCTCTTTAGTAACCATATCGCTTACTATGCATGAACGCTTATGAGCATTGGCATGTATGGAACGCGCGTTTTTGTCATGTGGTTCTTACGTAACTACGCAAGCTTGTCCTACCCCCCCTGGCGCATTACTGCTCACAGTGCAGTGTAACCACGCTAGTTACATTTTACGCCTGCAAAATAATTGTACACGCCCATTTTCGGGATTTTTCAATCCGGGCGGAGCACCCGGTTGTTATAAAGCTGCAGAAACACTGGTGTACGGAGAGGGTGAGCCTAGGAACGAGACTAGCATGTCTCTAACACCAGTGGGTTTTACATTTCTTGCTATTTGAGGGGGTTGAATCCAAGGATTTTTATGTCTGTCCCCTTTTCCCTCTCCTTCTGACTTTCATCTGGCGTGTCACCACCCAAACCAGTAGTAATCACAGCTCTATCTTGGCTTGTATTAAGTTTTGGACTGATAAGAATTGTTTGCCTCCGTTCACACTGTGGGGGGACGAGTACTCAGTCCAGCATTGCCCCAGATGCTACTTGCTTTATCGCTGCCAGCCTAGCATGAAACAGGCTTTAGCTAGACCATGTAGTGTGGCCCACAATATCATCTGTGCTATGCATATTTTGCCTTATTGCAGGTCAAAGTTCATGCTGCCATTTTACTTGCGCACATCCCAAAGCACTAAAGTGCAAACCCTCGGCGAACTGCGCATGCGAGTTACTGCTAATTGATGGGCTGGACTATTTGTACTCGTGGTCTCCCGCTAGTTATATACCTCACAAAGAGTCTGACACAGGCTAGCTACAGTAGTAGATAGCATACGGTAGTCGACACATGCCATTCGTTGTGACATTCTGAGTATGGTGCCTGAGCCCCCAAGGTACACAGAGCGGGGAGCGGATCAGGTTGCGGTAAGCCCAGTGCGATCACATCTCTCTCGTCTAATACACTCATGTGCACCACTAATGGATGGTTGGACTACGCTACGTTGCCTGGGACTGTGCCAGTTTCTCGCGCTCGAACGCTGTCGTTTCAGAAAAATCGCCATTTTGTTTTTCATGCGCTTGTAGCACTGAAGTGTTTGGTATCGCTCTTAGGCCACCTCGTAGCCTGTAGTGCGAGAATAGTCAGACACACACACACACACACAGAGACCGACTACTGTAACCCTCGCTGCGCATGCGCGCCGAGGGTTCCTTTCATCATTTAGCTACCACCACGCCCCAAAACGATCGTCACCCCGATTACAGGAAAAATTGTTTTGACACACGAAAGTCAAATGGCGCGCGTGCCATAGGGTGCCTAATAGAGTACACTGATCGGTCTCTTCCAAGTCCTGGTACTACTACTATACTGGTTTCAAGTAAGCTAGTTAATCTTTGAACTCTCGCACCTGGATCAGGAAGTAACGTTGCAGTGAAAGTTACGTGCCTCATAACTGGTCGTCGCCTTAAATCCAAGATTTGATTAGTTCCCCTTGATTAGTTTCCCTTGAGAAGCTTTCGTCGCTTGATAACAATCTTAGCCGTAGAAATTCGTCGCAAGGTAAAAATAATTTTATACTGGCTAGCTCTAGCTGCATAGCAACAGACGTGGGTCCTCTGGGTATGCGGAACGGTGGGGTCCACTCACCTGCCAGCGGACCACACCCATTTTTGCCCGGCCGATGGCAGTCCATTCTGGAGTCCCCCTATCAGTCACAATGTTACAAAACTAGCGATGCAATTTCAGTCCCTGGATACTGCGTTAGATGAATAGAACCCCCACAGCCTGCTGGCATGAAGAAGCTAGAGAAGGTTTCAATAATGCTCGAAAATGCCACGAGCGCGCCGTGGTGTCCAAAGTGGGCAGTCGCTGCTAAAATGTTGCGGCACCTATTTGTCATTGAAACCACCATTCTAGAGTTGTTCTGCTGCTTTTACATTTTTTGAGGCATGCAGTTCTGAAGCATATTATTTGTCTATAAAGATGTAGTATGTATGTTTTCACA